AAGATCTTCAAACAATTTTGACAAGTTCATTGAATGGCTGAGGAATGGAGGAAACAGCTGCAAGAATGAAACTTAGCTGAGATTTTGATCTCATAAAAAAGAATAGTAGACTAAGTTTTTTTTTTTTTAATAGTAGATTTACTATATAGTATTTTAGAGGATATGCAAATTTATCTTCTTTTTTTTTTCCTTCAAAATATAGGATTAATGTTATTTTCGTAGTGTGTTTTACATCACACTTGAGTTTGAGTTTGATTTAAATTTTGCTATTTTAATAAAAAAAATTTGTTATATTTAGAAACACATATTTTTTTCCTTCTATTTAAGTTGAGCATTTTATTACAATTTCAAACTTCATTCCTCTAAAATATCATGATGATAAACTATTTGAAAGGATAAATAATTAGTCAAAGCTAATTAAGATCTTTTATCAATAAAGACTTTGAATACATAATAAACTATATAGTGACTAAACTGTTACATAGTAAGATTTATCAACTAAATTATTATTCATTTGTAAGTACTAAATTGTTAGCCGCTAAAATTTAAGGATTAAATCATTGCTTCAGTGAAATGATAGATACTAAAAGTATAATGACTTCAATTTTTACCATAATAGCTGATTATTTTTATTTTATATTGAATTTTCCTCACACTTGAAGTCTTGAACTATTTTCAATGGCGGGGAGTCTAACTTGAATTACAATAAATATGTGAAAACAACAAAATGCTAATTTTGTTCTACGGTTTTTTTTTTTAAATTTGTTATGAACGCAATTTTATATAATTACCTTTTCAAACAAAATTTTCTACATTAAAACGATTTTTTTAAAGAAAAGAAAAAGTAAAGAAAACTGTTTTTAAACACAAGTTCCAAACAGACCTTTTAATTTCACCCTTATTAATGTTTTAAAATTCAATTTAATTTTATTAAATTGACCTCATTTATCTAAGCAGAATAAAAATAATAATAAAAAAAATAAAAAATCTATAAATTTATTTCTAATCGTTGTCGTTGCAATTAGTTGCAAATAATGTTGGTGTCGGCATTTTAATGCGTTTTGTTGATGGGAAACTAAATTCATTAACCAAAAACTAACAACTTGATTATGACCTTTTTCCTTTTTTTAAAGGGATTATGACTTCTATTATTAAAACTTTTAAAATTTTAGAAAAACCATAAATTTAATTTACGAACCAATGCCATAAAACTACTCGAATAAGACTCTCCACCAAAACTTATTTTTTAATGAATAAGTTTAGTAATCTAACATTGTTCAAAGCGAGCATAACTTAAAAGCAATTATCATATATTTACAACTAGTGAGTTCAATTCCCACCCTCACATGTTGTACTTAAAAAAAAAAAATCTAACATGCTCAAAGGTCAATCCATGATCCCATCGAGCTAAGATTTGCCTTGAGATGGTTTTTTCTAAGTTAAAATTATTGGCATTTTACATTTATTATTTCTACTTAGTATTTCCTGCTAGATTCATACAAAAAAGGATAATTCATCCTTATAATATAATATAGAGTTTATCCCAACACAAACTTGGAATCTTCTCGTTGGAGAATTAGTATAAATCTACAGAGAAAAAACTTCACTCGTTGGAGTTTTGTAGAATTCATGGCAAGGAAGTGAGACAACTGATGTCCAAGCTTCTTTGGAACTCTAAGCCTGCCTAATTTTAAATATTATAGTATAAAGCCAAGAAAATGGAGCAAAACAAGAGAATAGAACAGTAAGAAATTTTTCCAAACAGAACAAATCAATGACAAATTGAATATAACCAACCATTAGCAGAAGAAGGTACAAAATAAAAGGCAAAGACAAAGAACAATTAGGACTAGGAGATATAAACAAAGTGAGCTTACAGTTGAGTTGCATATAAAAAATGACAACGACGACAATGGCTAGAATATTGAGAGTGAAGATAAGTAGATTCCTTATCATTTATGGTTCATGTGGAGCTACTCGTTCATGGTGTGTGTGTGTGTGTATATAATGAGATAAACTGAAGCACAGACACTACAATCAATCGAATCAATCCGAACAACACGGAAACTCCTAAATTACATAACAGAAATGGGGGGCGGGCATATTTTGGCCATACCTTATCCAGCACAAGGCCATGTGATCCCCATGCTGGAAATCTGTCTGTGCTTAGCCAAACACAGGTTCGAAATCACGTTTGTGAACACGGAGTATAATCACAAGCGTGTGATAGATGCTATGGCGGAAGCAAATCATACAGAGGAATGGGACGGTAATACTAATATTCATCTTGTTTCACTCCCAGATGGCATGAAACCTGGAGAGGATAGGAATGATCTTGGTAAATTGACCGAGGCAATGTTTCAAGTCATGCCAATAATGCTGGAAGAGCTTATAAACAAAATCAATGGATTGGGTGGCAATGAAATTACCTGTGTTATTGCTGATGAGAATACTGGGTGGGCTCTGCAAGTTGCTGAGAATATGGGAATCCCACGAGTTGCTTTCTGGCCGGCTTCAGCCGCAGTGTTGGCTCTGATTTTCAATATCCCAAAGTTCATTGAACAAAAACTTATAGATTTTGATGGTAAGATGAGTTTCAATTCAACTATTTTTTCTCTCCTTTTTGCTTTAGAACAGTTGCATTAAGTTGAAACAATCTTATCCACAACAAACCATTGGTCACCACTATGTAGAATTTGCTCATAGTACTTCAAGATCAGTAGAGTATGGAAATAACTAGTTTCAATAATCAACAGGAACTTTACTTAAAAGCGAGCAGATTAAGTTGGCGGCATCAGTACCCACAACCAGAACAGAAGGATTGGTGTGGGCATGCGTAGGCGACAAAGAGACACAGAAAATTCTATTTCAAGTGTGCTTGAGAAACAACAAATCAGCGAAATTGGCAGATTGGGTTATTTGCAATACAGTATACGAGCTTGAAGAAGAAATTTTTACCTTATTTCCTCGTATTGTCCCAATCGGCCCACTTTTAGCGAGCAATCGGCTTGGAAATTCAGCCGGACACTTCTGGACAGAAGATTCAACTTGCCTGAAATGGATCGACCAGCAATCTCCAGGCTCAGTTATCTATGTCGCATTCGGAAGCTTCACCGTTCTGGACAACGCTCAATTCCAGGAATTGGCCCTAGGGCTTGAGCTTTCCGGCAGGCCATTTCTATGGGTGGTGAGGCCGAACATCACCGAAGAAAACCCTAATAATGTCTTCCCAGTAGGGTTCCAAGAGAGGGTGGAATCACGTGGGAAAATCGTGGGTTGGGCTCCGCAGCAGAGGGTTTTGAATCATCCCTCCGTCGCTTGCTTTCTGAGTCACTGCGGCTGGAATTCGACCCTCGAAAGCCTTAGCAATGGCGTCCCATTCCTGTGCTGGCCGTACTTCGCGGACCAGTTTCTTAACGAGAGCTACATCTGTGAAATTTGGAAGGTGGGGTTGAAATTGGAGAAAGATGGAGATGGAATCATCAGAAGAACAGAGGTTGAACAGAAGGTGGAGAAGCTCCTCGGAGATGAAGAAGTGAAACACAGAACTCGAAAGCTGAAGAAAATAATGATGGAAAATGTGGAAGAAGGTGGTCGATCTTACAATAATTTCAACAATTTTATGGATTGGTTGAAGAGAACGTAACATTTTTCCATTTAATTTGAAGTACTATCCAGTCCCAGTGTGATCGCTATGTGCCTAGATGAATGAATTAAAAGGGAAACTATATCCCTTCCTAAATGTATAATTTCCGCCCACTTTTTCTTTTTGTTAATATATTTGTTAAATACTAGACAGGTAATACTGTCATCACCCCATTAAATATTTGAACGATTAAAATAAGATAAATATGGAAACAAATATTTTTTTAAATAAAATGAATGGTAAATTTTTCAATAACCACGAGCATTCCACATCATTAAGAGTCAAGTATTATTCTTTTCTTTAAACTAAATCTTGTTTTTACCACCATTGAAAAATTGACAATTTATCGTTGAAAAGAAAAACAAAAAAATTTCTATTTTGGTATTTATCTCTCATAGTTGTCAAATATTTAATGGTGGTGAGCGCAAGATTGGTTATCACATTTTTAAAATAACCAAAAGAAAGGAATACATTGTCAAACTTGAGCATAACTCTCAACTAGTAAAGATGACAATGTGAGATGGAATTCAAATCTTTAATATTATGGTCGATAATATATATATTAATAAGTTAAACTACCCTCAAAATGATTTATAGTTATTAACATCATTCCCTATTTGTAATTATTTTCACATAAATGATGCAATTAGTATATGACTTTGAACATGTAAACTAATTACGTGGTGATATGAGCATGTATTGAAGTCGTCGAACGTTACCTTTAATTAATTGGAAAAAGATCGTCCATGAGACGGAATGTTGTTATATCTAATGTTTCATCACGCTCACAAGATTAATTCATTGTATATGTCTTGAATGGGAATGTGAGATTAGGGGGGAAATAGAAGATGAATGTGGGGAGAAAATTGTGGTTAGATAGGGAAGCAAATGTGAGTCCCATGATTGGAAAAATGAAGGGAAGGGTATTATGAGGAGGCAAAATTCCCATAAAAATTGGCTTTAGCACATGCCCATTTTGTCCCTCTTCGCTCTTCACTGTCCATGCAATGAACTTGTCCATCTCTTTGCCTCTCCCACTTGCCATCCACCATCAATCATCAACACACCACTCCCCTAGTGCTCTCCATTTCACCAAAAACTTCTCAATATATCCCCTTTCCTGATGAAATAAAATTAGTCTCGCGACTATTTTACCGTTTATTTAAATGGGTCATTGCATTCCACATCATTTGAACCCAAAACTTTAGAAATATTTCTTGAAGTCTCAGACCATCAAAACTATCTTTTGAAAACAATTTGTAGGTTCATATTTTAAAAAAGCATGTAGTTTGAAAGAAAGATTTCAGACAATATCGAACTAAGTGATCTATATTGTAATTCGCACATGGGCCAAACTTTCCATAATTTTATAAACACGAAGCAAATATTTCTCGTCATGCCAATAAGTAAGACCTTTAAACTTTACAACAACCACATTTTTTCTTGTCTCATTTTTCTATAATTAATATCATAAAGATTGTGGTTGCACCAACTTGAATGACTACGAATAAAAGAAAAGACAAAACGAACAATAGAAGCAAAATAATAAGAAGAAACTTCAAAATCAACATTCGTTTTTCCTTCTACAACAACATTTCACATTTCAACTTTTACAATACATACATTTGAATATAGTTTTATGAAAGAAGAGAAATAATGCACAAAATACTTGCATATATTATGATATCGAAAATTCAGAGAAGTGGGTGTAAAAGAAAAGTATATAGTGGAATCATATAACTGTATAAGAACCAAATAAAAAATGGAGAGCCATAGAAAAATTATCTGAGAATTTTCCTTCACTTTCTATCCAACCAAACAGAACCCCATTGAAAGGAAATTCCTTCTTAGCGGTTTATTTATTTTTATCTCTTGATTAATTACAACAAGTAAACAAAAATTAGAAAAAATAAAAAGAAAGAACTATGAAACGACGGCGTTTTCTGCGTCGTCACTGCAGCTGGATCCAAAAAAATCGACCAGCTTCTGCAAAATCACGACCTGGGTTTTCAATAGAACAATGTAATCCGCAGTTTCCTTGAACAACTGCTCCGTTTTGCGGGCTTCGCCGGCAGTTTGCGCCGGAATGAGGCTCTCCAGAGCCTCCAATTTAGCCGCCACGTCGGAGGAGGAGCACGGCAGCGACGACGACGACGTTGTTTCGCCATATTTGACGGGATTCCGGCCTCCGAAAGCGCAGGGACGGCGGCAAAACCTCCTTTTGATTCTTCTTCTGACATTTCTGAGAGGATTTGGGAGAATCTTCGTTTTGGAGCTCATTGTTGTCGGAGTGAAATTGGTCAGCCAAGACGAGGGAGAAACCCAGGTTTAAGTAACAGTACGCCAACACTTTGCCCCCTCACTTCCTATTTATTACCATAATGCCATTTATCTATTTCAATAAAGATTTTAAACCATCATTTAATCGTTTCTTTTTTTTTCTCTCTCTATTTTTTTCCCTTTTTACCAGAATTGGAATTCTTAAATTCTCTCGTACATTATCTAATTATGGGTGTTGGATCGAAATCGACCCAGTTCGGATGAGATGTATTGAAGTTCGAATTATGTGCAAAGCAAAGTTTGCATTTCAACACTCCAATCAGTACACAGTTCGATCTATTGCTCTAGAGAGAATAATTTCACACACCTTTCGTGGGAGGTAGGAATCTCTATTTATAGAGATGAGTTATTAACAAGGCTTTCGAGAGCGCTTCAAGACTCTCCGACATCTTGGGAAGTCGGAGAACATTCTCGTTGTCTTCACACTTGTAGGTGCTGGTTCATACCTGATAATGGTCAATCGAGAGGATATATGTAGTTCGATTCGGCTTTCTCTTGTCGAACTACCAAGATTTGAATCAATCTGAAAGATGCAGTCGAATCTTTTTATTGTTTTATAAGAAATTACATGCAAGATTGCAGACTATAAAGGACCTCCAACAATTGACTATATTATATTTCAGTTATAATATTTTATAGTATGATATGAATTATTTTCTTGGAATAAAAGTCTTTTTAATAAATTTATCCACATGAACAAGTATTTGAAGCATTATATAAAGTATTAAGTGGTTGGTTTCTAATGGATTTAAGTTATATTTTCCTTAAAAAAAAGGATTTAAGTTATTATTAATTAATTAATGAAAAATCAAAAGTTGAGAAACAAAAACAAAACAATTTAAAAAGTTTAGCAATGAAAATGACAACAAACATGAAAGTTCTTTATTCTAATTGGTTTGTTTGAAAATTTCCAAAAAAGAGAGAAAGAAAGGGTTGACGAGGTAATTTTGAGAGGAAAGAACGGCAATTTCTCGTCAGAAGAGCACGCCGGTCAGCGACGGCGCATGTGAGGCAATGAAACCTAAATTCCACATTCCTAAAATACCCTGGAAAAAACTAAGGAAAGAAGGGCTGAATATGGGAGTAATAAGCAAAGTCTTAAAAGGTCCACGTGGATAAAAATGTTGATGTTGATAGATATTTACGAAAAATTAAACATATAAAAAATTCCTAACAAATATTTAAATTAACAAGTAAGCATTTCACACTTTTTAAATAAGTAGTGATAATTTTTATATTTTGTGTAATGCTAGAGTAGGAGACGAGGGGTACATGGATGAACCAGTATCACATCTGAATGAGACAGATCCTAAGACCATGAAAAACATAGTTAAAAAAAATTTAAAAAAATTGATAGTTACTATCTATATTAACAAGATGCAACTTCCTTTTCAGTGACTCAACTGCATAAGAACTTCAAAATCAAACGTGCTTGGTTTGGAGGTAGGTCGCAGGGAAATTGCTGGGACAATTAGGTTTCGAATCCTGGCTTGAGATTTGTCGATTCACCTATTCATGTTGATGTCAAACTCATAGACATGAAAATATTTACAAAAATGTCGGCGAAAATTTAAGACTTGGGTAACGAGGAGGTGGGAATAAGGGCAAAGAAGGAAAAAAGGAAAAGTGAAGTGGTGGTGTAATTGGGGGTTGTGGGTTATGGCTTCCCTAAAGGTTGCCATGTGAGTGTTGTATGGGGCATGAGAGCCAGAAAAGCCCTGAGTGAGAGAGAGAGAGAGAGAAGGGCACATGGGGAAGCACATGGAAAGAGGGGATTTTGGAGGGTAGCCCTTGGGCATGTGACAAAAGAGGGACAGTGCAGCACCAAGCATGAAATTGTACTACACCATGTCCTACACATTCTCTTCCATGGACCCCCATCAACTAGCCCCTGCCCTCTCCCACTCTTTCCCTCCTTCTCCATGTCTCGTTTAATAGCGATTTTGTTTCAATCATCGTGCTAATTAAGTACCTTGCTTCATTTCACGAGAGAAATGATGGGATTGAACGAATGTAGCCACTTCTTGAAATCGGGGGAAAAGCTTCCTCTCTTAATGTTTACATTGATTAGAAGTAGTTTGTGCGACTTTTTGATGAGATTTACTTTTATTGAACAAATTTTATTGCATTTAATAGATGAGAGGATTTTACCAAAATTTATGAGTTAATAAAAATATGTCACGTCAAAATGTCATAAAGGCTCTTATGAATCGGTGTGTAGATAAATATTGTTGGTTGAATCGGGTGAAATTAATTCTATCATAATCGTTTTAGCTCTTGTGTTAACTTTTGGTTTGGTAGTAACACTACGCATTTGTGATTTCTTCTCTTTTTCCCATTTTAAATGTTAGTCAAATTTTCCAAACATAAAAATGAATAATTGAGAGCCACTTATCATGATTTTATTTTATGTTGTTATGTAATAATAATATATAGATTTTTGGTTCAATTTATTATAGGACATTCCAAGGAAAAAAAAAACTAAGCAAAGAAATATTAACAGATTAAAAAAATAGTTTAAAAAATATAAAACCAAATTATGTTTGAAAAGTTAAGATATGTTTGGTTGGTAAATAGAGTTGTATTCATCTCTCAGTACTAGTTTTAGAAATTTAATTTTAATTTAAAAAATGGTTGAAGACATGTTTTGTAATATATTTACAAATTACTCCAACTAAACATTTTGTTTAGTCTTAAATATTATTAATTAATTTATTAACAAATATGTTATAAAATTTGTATAATAATTATTCTATAATATTATATAATTTATAACCTTTTACATTTTACCTGTTTTAATTTTAACAAAAATAAAATGAATTTATAATGCAAAATACTAAACTTATAAAAAAAATTCTATCTATTTTACGGTTTCAAATTTAAAATCTAAAAATATTGTCAATATTAAAATGTTGTTTTCGGATTTTTCCTTATTTAGTTCACGGGATATGCACAAACATTTTTATGAAACAAATTTTTCAAACAAAAATATTAATTGAGTCTGAAAACCAAAAACGGTTGCCCCTACTTTTTATTAAGTTTATAAATTTTAGTTAAGATTCTAAAAATATTTTTAAAAGGAAATTTATATAAAATAAAGAAAGTACTGATAAATAAGTTTAGTTTTTTTTTTTTTTTAAATAGAAAGACAATAAACTAAAAATTCAAATCTCTTTAAACTATATATTTAATAATAATTTAGTCCACTTAGAATATTGTTTAATCTTCCGTTATATAAAGGCAATCTACTTTATCCTTCAAAATGATTTCCACAGTATCAGTCAAAGGTTTTGAAACATTATGATTTGATTAATGACTCATTGACCATTTTTTATTTAACATGAAATTCAGTTCAATTCCCCCTCTATTTCTATGTACATTTTTTAAGGAAAAATTCCATAAAGCACCCTAGAATTATTAAGCTTATTACAATTACATCTCTAAATTTTTATTTTTTTCAATCAGTAATTAACTCATTCTATTTTCATACTATTAGTTTTTGTGTTTAATTGGATGTAAGTTTGACTCATTTGTAAATCACACACGTACACCCAACTAAAAAAACACAACAATGAGTATTTTGGTTTCTGTATCTTAAAATTGGAAAATTAAGATCTTTTACGCATGCGGTTATTTTCTAAGTTTGTAATTTGTAACCATTACTACTTAGTTTGAGAGTTGAGGTAGTAAAATTTGTAAATTCACATGTCAGGTATAAGCTCCACGTCCTAACATGTTTCTATAAAAATACAATTTGCGCCCAATTTAATAATTAAGCTTCATAAAACACACCAAAGGAGGCATGAAGCATGGGGGTGGATGATGTAAAACATGTCACGAAGACATCTCATATTTTGTTTCAGCCAATATTGTATTGTGTTAAAGTAATATTTTAGATATTAACATCGACATCTCAATTTTATACATTAATGATTGTTTATTCCTGTATTTTTCTTCTTATTTTGTCAATTTTTTTACAGTATAATCAAAATGTTGATTCTTTTTCGTGTCGATATCAAATTTATTTGTCAAATGAAATTAAAAAAAAAAAGGTAAATGAAAAGTGGGACAGGAGATGTCATGAGTGGCATTGTTGCAACCAAGTGAGCAATGTGAAATGGCGACATATTCTTAATACATTCTTTTCTTAAACATGACCCTACTTGTTTTGTCTAATGTGAAACAATTTTTTTTGCTCCTTTTCTTTTTCCACTTCAATTTGGTTCATTCTTTTATTTTCTTCTCATTTTTACTAAATTTAAAATTTAGTCCCTCCTATGTGTGTGTTTTCAAATTTGTCCCCTAATAAGTTTTTCTCTCAATTAAGTTTTATACTATCACTAACCCTAAATAATAATAACAGCAACAATAACAATAACAAGTGACTTAAAAATGGTAAATTTTTTTTACCAAAACGAGTATAGCTCAATGGTAATTGACATATATTTCAAATTAAGAGACTACAAGTTCGATTTCTCACCCCACATATTGTATTAAAAAAAATAAAAATGGTAAGTTTTAATGTGGGTGTCAACCGTTAGCTTTGATAGCATTTTTAATAGTCTTGTTTTCTAACTTCTGTAATAACAAATTAACTTGGGTCGGGTGGGTTAATACGATAATCATAAAGTGGGAAGATTTTCAATTTTATTGGGGGACAAATTTATTTCATCAAATAAAAATATAGTGTTTCCGACTCGACTAATAAAATATATTTTGACTAGATATTATTATTTTGTCAACTAATTAGAACCTTCTGTGTGACAACAAGTACTTTCATGTTTTATCAATATTTATTTTGGCTCTTAGGTTTTTGAAAGTTGGATTTTGATTCTTGCCCATTCTTTTGGTGTTTTAACTTTCTAATTTTCTTTATAGTGTGCATTTATTTCTTACGTCCATTCTGACGCGTAGGTGAGGATTTGAACTCACGATCTTTTGGTCGGAAATACACATCTTAATCAGTTGAACTTCAAAGGATATCTTGAGGCCTAAAAATCTTGAAGTGTTAGGTTCAAGTCACATGAGACGCAACTTTTACCTCAGGTATTGTGGCATAAAGGTCAAAGGGGAGCTATGTAATGAGAAGTAGGTGAAGATCGTTAATTAATCATTTATTTAGATAGTGATAAAATGAATTCGTTTCAGCATAAAATGTTAGTTGAGAGCTTTGAAAGGCAATAAAATTATTTTTTTTTTAAATCCGTATGTTTTTGCAAGTTGCTCCTTACCACGGAGGGGGAGCCAAATATTTTCCATAATTAAATGTATAATTATAATAAAAGTTCGAGGATTAAAATAAAAATAAAAATAAAAAATAAAAAGTATATTGTTAAAACCAATTTTTGAAAGCCATAATGAAAAATGAATAAAAATTCAATAATAATTTCATTTATGGTTTCAAAAGTTTCTCAAATGCTAATTTTATATCAACCAAGTATTAATTTATGTTGTCCATCAAGATTAAGATAACTAACTTAACACATAAGTCAATTGATAAAAGTATTTGATCTTAAAGTTTGAGGGTAAGTGTATATTTGTTCTCGAAGTTACAAAAAATTTTAATTACTTAAATTTAGTAAGTGATATTAAATGATCCCTAAGCTTAGTAGTTATTTGCTGACTTGACAAGTTATATTAATTTTAAATTAAATTTTAGTAATAGTTGACATCTCTTTCTCCTCTCTTTTTCTTCTTCATTCTTTTCTTCCTACAAATTTTTGTCAATGCCGCCTCGTTGTCACTCCTACTATTGTCATCTTGACATTTCCTTCTCACGGTCTAAATTGATATCAAATTCAAACTTTTTGAACTATATATATATATATTTTTGAAGGTTAGAATTTACTTCATTAGAAATCTAAGCTCAAATTTGACCCAGGCCCATCAAACCTGGGCTTGGATGAGCTTATATCTTATGCTTTTTTGTTGGGCTCTATTATTTTCCGAAAGTCCAAATAAGGGAATAGAATTGATATGTCTAAATTTTGTGTCATAACACCTTTTTTTTATAGGAACGTGTCATAATAATTTAAATAATTGATAATTAGTTTCATTATATTTTTTTTAGTTCAACAACTATGGAGATGACCGTAGATCTTAAAAACGACAATAACATCAATTCATTTATTATAATAACAGAATGTGTATTACATTTTAGCTACTACTTTTATATTACTTTATACTAGATTTGTATCATCAAATGAAATTTTCTAACTCAAAACTTCTTAAGAGATCTTGTCAAAAAAAAAAAATAATAATAAATAAATAAAATTAATGAGAATAATCCAAAATTATTCTAAGAAAAGAAGAAAAATGAAATCCAGAAATCTAACAGGCCGAGCCCAAATGAACCATGAACTACTATAAAATGCTGTGGAAGGGGCTGCCCCTAGGGTTTATCTTTCTCGCGATCATCTGCAATTGCTTACCATGGCGACGGCAAAGACTGTGAAAGACGTCTCTCCTCACGAGTTCGTCAAGGCCTATGCGGCTCATCTTAAGAGATCTGGAAAGGTATTCATTTTATATTTCTACTTGCCCTTTGCTGATTCTCTCAATGTGGATTGATTTTCAGAATGGGGTCAAGGCTGGGCTCGTTTTCTGTTTAGTTGGCCATGTTATTCGGCTTCTGCTGGCTAGTTTTCAGGTTTTAGAGTTTCGGTTGATTTTTTTTTGTGTTTTTTCGAACTTTTAATGTGCTTCTGAGTTGTAAGATTCATTTGCTAATTCTTCTGGAGAGGTTAATCGTTTAATTAGCTTTGAAAGCACGCTCGCTTTGAATATGCCTGTTCCGGTATTCACTACTTTCTATTGCTGTTTCTGGCCGTTGCACTTGTGATGAGAAATTGCGAAATATTTTTATTTTCTTGCATTTACACTTAGCCCTTGAGCGTTTTTGGGATCTTGTTAATTTTGTGGACATTTTCTCGGTCTAAAGGATTCTGTATTTTTTATATATTTCTAACTTTTTTTTTCATCCCCCTAGTTTGGGTTATCTCTTTTGTCATTCGATTCCTATGAATACGATTTTAGTACACGTTCTGTTCTTGATTTGTTATGACTTTCTACATCACGTGTTCTTGTCCACTTATAAATTGACTATGATCATTTTTCGCCTGTATTGTTGCCGAGCAGGTTGAACTTCCACCATGGACAGACATAGTTAAGACTGCAAGATTCAAAGAGCTTGCTCCTTATGACCCTGATTGGTATTATGTCAGAGCTGGTCAGTCTCCCCTTTTCCTCCATTTGGCTTCCATACTTTCACTTGTTATAAAATCTACATAAATAAATTGCTGCTGTGTTATGTATGTACTATTTACTGATCTCATAGTCTTATGATCACCATTTCAAACTTATTCAGCATCCATGGCTAGGAAGATCTATTTGAGGGGAGGTCTCGGTGTGGGGGCATTTAAGCGGATTTATGGTGGAAGCCAGAGGAATGGAAGTCGCCCACCACACTTCTGCAAAAGCAGTGGTGCTATTGCTCGTCATATTCTACAACAGTTGCAGGAAATGAACATTGTTGATGTTGATACCAAGGGGTGAGTTCAAAATCCTCATAAATTTCTTTTAGCTCTTCGATTTGATGTTCCAAGTAAAATGACAACCGATTGTATTGGATATAACCCTGCTTCGCGTTTTGGACTGGTCTCAAATCATCTGAACCAGAGTTATAATTTAGTCCTACATGGTTATTGTCGATTAATGTATATTTCTCTTTGGATGTGTTTGCAGTGGAAGAAGAATCACCTCAAGCGGACGACGGGATCTCGATCAAGTTGCTGGCCGCATTGTTGTTGCCCCTTGATTGATAAATTGCCTATTTTGATAATTAGAGACGAGCGTTTTGCTGATGAGATACGGATTATGCGTGGAAGTTTTGGATTAAGCTGTTGAAACATTTTCAAATGAAGATAATCAATCTCGTGTTTTCATAGTTTTGATGATCTTTCAGGTCATTTTCAATTCCTTGGTTATTTTTGGGTTTTTAAATATTATCAACAGTAATTATGATGTTTGGCAACGAACCTTCTGTAGTGATTTTTTTGATAGAGTTTATCCGCTATAATCGTTTCCATGCTTTTAAATTTTACGTAAGCTTTATAAATGAAAATGTGAAGTGTAACCATCAGAACTTRAGAGTGAGGGAACGTTTTGATTATTGTTAAAAACGGGTCTTTTTTCTTATTATGAAAGTCAATTTCAAACTTAACTTTTTCCATTTGTTATGGAACATGTATGATTTTTTTTTAATCTTTACTTCTGATTTCTATGTTGATTAAATCTATGAACTTTTATCACTTGACCTTCAATCTTTCATTAAGCGACTTAAATTCAAAGAGAAGTTTCAAAATTTCAGTTTCCTTTAAGGATTTTTTAAGGTAACATGAAAGGGTTAAAGACACCTTCTATTGCGTGGCCTATGAGCCCTTCAGAGTAAATTAAAAGTCTCATCAAGACTAATGAGGGGGACAACGTAATGCTTATACTCTATTGAGTAAGCCAGCAACTATAATGGTTGCCAAAGAATACATCAGCAATATTAAGCCAAAAAAAATTAAGAGATAGAGACGAACACTTGATAGAACATGCTTATTCAGAGAATTATGTCACAAAATTTTAACAGAATTGTTTCTACACCCTCAATTGTTTTCTTCATGATTGGAATGTGTAGTGGCTCATATCATTCCAGGACAAGCAGGACTTGATCTTCTTCTGCTGTGGGATATGGAATCTTGGTTCTCTTGGTATTGTTGGAAGCTTTGCTGACCTTTAAACAAACATCACAAAAGGAACAAACCAACCAGTTCAAACTCCCAAATGACATTAGTCTCAAGTTTCTCAAATGAAAATTAAACAACTTTTCGATGTACCTTCTAGGGATGAAGGGCCTATCAAAGTAAGGCATTGGTTGTGCCTTTGGAACCAGCTCCTTCCTCAATCTCCTTACTTCTTCATCCTCAGCCATCTGTCGGATTTCGAATACCACCATAGATGTGTGAGATGTCAAAAACAAACTAACGAAACAACATAATATGTAACTTGATAATCATTTCATTCTTTTCTACCTTCTGTTGTCTCTCTTTTTCCATCTTGTATCGCTCTATCAGAGACAACTTCTCTGCTACCTTCATTAACAAACAACAAACAAGAATTTAGTTTTTTGAGTTACAGGCCATATCCATCATACAATACTTTAATGATGATTAACAATAGGGTTGTTTTTTTCCAAAAAGACGAGATCAGAAAACCACCTGATGATCAAACTCGGAGCGCTCTACTGCTCTTACATCGCTATGGAGAACTAGATCCAGTGGTTTTGTAATTTCCTTCACGGGAGGTTTTACAAGGCACTGCAGCAAATGGACATGTAGTTTCTATTAAACCACAAAGGGCATTCAAGAGTTGAAATTTGAACACGAAATAGGCTTATATATGGAAATAGGAAATTGAAGATCTGATTGTTTACCTCTGGCTCATCAGTTGTCCATGGAAGGCCTTGAGCAATTGGTATTCTTTGTCTCTCCTCCTCTGTAATTGCTTCTTGTACCTTTTTTATAAACTCCTCTTCCTTCTCCTTTCCTCTTTGCTGCAAATTCCCGACAAAAAGGAAGCAAACGTTGTAATTTTGTGAGGTTGATATGGAATTTTCCTAGTCCATTTTCATTTTCTTACCTCTGTTCTGAGTTTAAATGGCTTCTGCCTGGTGACTTTTAGCTGCTTTTTCTTCCATCTGCTTCCACCAATTGTGCCAGCCGATTCGGTGCTCTGAAAATCAAAACGATTGTTAGAATTACCAAACAGTTCCTTTAATAGTCCATTAACGAGAGATCTTCACTTACATTTCTTCTGCTTCTTCTTCCAGCATTGGAAGTCCTGCTTGAAATACTGAAGCTCGAAAAAAAAAGACATAATAAGTTAACCAAATAAAAACACAAATGTAAAAAAAGTGATTAAGCTGCAGACCAACCTTCCATGAGAGCCGTCCCAAGAAGATGAAACTGAAATTCGAGGATCCAAACCGAGATTTTCTGATGTCAAAAACAGCTCAGATGGACAAAATGAAGAAGACGAAGTCTGCGTTTCAAGAACCGCTGGAGGAGGTAATCCTGGCAAAGCCCATTTCATCACCTTCTTCTTCTCTTCCATGGGCTTCTCTGCGTTTTCTGATTGCTTCTCCTCATTCTGATCCGACTCTTTTGGAACCTGTATAGTTCTGAGTTTCTCAAACGCCATAACTAAATGCTTCACTTTTCCAGATCCTGTTTCTGGAACACTGTTCCTTGCTGTCTCCAGAAGCCTTTCCCTCCGTCTCTTGATCATCGAATTGCTCACTTGTTCAGGCGATTCACTCGCTCCATTACCTTCATGTTCATCATCAACTTTGTCTTCAACTTGGAGGTCTTCAATCATCAATTTCCTCTCCATCTCTTCTTCAAGTTCAATCTCAGCCCTAATTGATCCATTGAACTGCTCCGACTCCTCGTTCTCTTCAACTGCACCGCTCTGATTCTTGAAAAACTCCTCTTGAGAAGCCCTCAGAGTCTCGTAGGCTGTAGACAAACACTTTTTCGCATCACTCCCTGATTTCTCCCTCTTCGAATTCTTTTTAGCCACCACGAATTTCCTCTCCCTGATCTTGTACCTTGGGGAGTTCAAAACCAGAGTAGGGTTTTTGGCGGCAGATTTCTGAGCCGCCTTTGAAGACTTGATCGAAGGAGAGGATTTCGAAGGCTTTGGAACTGGGCTAATTGAAGAATCGTTGAGATTCGGATTCGTATTCTCAGAGTGCCTCGAAACTTCTTGAATCTTCGATCTAGATCCAGTTGAAGGAGTCACCGTTCCACCATTCTTGCCGATCGAACCCATCGCCTGAAACTAAAATACAAATCAAAAAATGGGTAGAAAGTAATCTGCCGGCGGCGGGGGAAGGGGGTGCTGCGTTCGATTCGATCGTCTTCGGAACCGAAAGGGAATTGAATCGAAGGGATATATTCGATAGTGGAGGAAGAAAAATGGAACGTTGAGCACAAAACGCTCTGTGTAACGGCTATTATTTGTGGACCGTCCGATCGAAAATTTTGAAAATTTGTGTTCGGTCACCCGGACCGTTGGATTAAACCCTACTGGACTGATGGATTTACTCACACTGAAAAGCGTTGTGGCCGGGCTACCTACAAGAAAAGAGGCCAAAAGATGGTGTGTAATTACTGTCTTACCCTTGGATGTACAAAATCGTCCTTTTACTAATTTATTTATCAAAATTATGAAAATGGTATCTGGTTTTTATTGCTTCTTTTGGGGTTCAATCACAAATATATTTGTTTGTTTTTACTCATGGGAATGACGTCCAGGAAGTTATAGTCAGACACACATGAAAATGATAGTAAAATTTATAAATCCATAGAAATTGAATTAAGTTTAAGATTAAGGTTAAATGCGTAGACGAGGGTTTGAGAATCCTAAAAATGTACTTAGTCGTGAGTATCAATTGTAAAAGGACTCTCAAGAAGGAAAATGGAACGAACTAGGGATTAGATCAAATGAGATTTTGGGACGTAAAGTTGTTGTCAAGACCAACATCCACTATGAACAAAGCATAAATTAATACAACACGTTTTAGTATTGTTTACTAGGATTAGCAAAAAGCATACTAACAATACTAAGAGGATGAAGAGGAAAGGAGAGAAAGAGATTATCTTTGTTCTTGCAATAAAATATGAATTTGGAGCATATGTTTGTTTCAATGATTTATCATAACTTACTAGTAAATAACATCTCATCTTTCTCTTCGAATGGAGATTCAAATCTTCATGCCCATATTTGTTGTAATAATAATAATATATATACACATATATATACACACACGCACACATATATTTTAAAAAGGTAGTTGCGTAGGCTCAATTGGGTCTTGAAGCGAAACAATCATACCTTACAAAGTGGTAGTTAAACTTAGGAAAATATCATTTTTATCGAATAAATTTTAATCTCAAACTTGTAATTTAACTAATATCTCATCGAAATTATTAGAGAATTGTCTAGAAATCAACTAAACATCTAAAATTATATTATAAAATTTCTCAAACCCAATTATGAAAATACTCTGAACCAAGAAGAAAGTCTAAATCTAACAAAAGTGGTTAATTTAACAATAAAATGTCCAAATCCAACAAAAGCGGAAAGATAATGGTTTGTCCAACCATAATATCTACGGACGATATTAATTACATCAGTGAAGAGTTTAAATTTGGCTACTTATTAAAACATATGATTTTTTTTAGTTGATTTGAAGTGAACTTGATTGTTTAAAAGAAAATTATGATTGGACCAATTAAATTACATCCATGTCAATTCAAATATATGATGTAAATTAATGAAATTAAAAATTTATGGTCAAAATGCATGTAGTACAAGGTCAAAAGACCTTCCATAAGTCCATTGCAATACTTTTCTCCCCCATTTTTTCCCTCAATTATTTTTCCATTTAATATTGTTAGATGCTCCAGTTTTATCTTGCCTTCTAATTTGATAAAAGAGTTGTGTTTTTACACCTTGTTATTTTTTTTTCCTTTTCATTTTTCTCTTTATGGATATTAAAAAAAAAAACCATACGCTACATAATTAGATAAACTAAAACGGGTATGTCTTAAGCCGATAAAGCAATTTAACTACAAGAAGGTATTTGTTTTTCCTTCTCCACCAATCACATCTCATCCATAAAATAGATACCAATTCAATTTATACGAAGGAATGTCAACCCATATATATCATTAATTAATATTTTAATATTTATTCGTGTTTTGTCAACTAATATATATATATATATATATATATGTCAACATGAGATTAGTTAAGTGGTAATTAGGACGTGTCTCTGACTAAAATGTCATGAGTTCGAATCCTCCATTTTCATTTGTTGTATTAAAAAAAACTAATATATATATATAGTCAACATGAACACACTATCAGCAATAATTGACATATATCTATTGCGTATGTTACTTTTCTTTTGAAGCGGGGTGTTTAAACTCGTACTTCTAATTTATTGTATTAAAAAACAAAAATTAATATGTATATATATATGCACACGTGGATATTACGACTTTATTATGTGGATTAATAAAAGAAAAGGCTCACCAAAAATTAGAACACCTTTAATTAATTCGTGCAGGCTTTTTTATTGTTTACATCCATGGTGGTGGATCCCCCTTTCTTGTTCCTCTCCTCTCTGCACCATTTTCCCCCAAACCCTCGCTAAAGAATCACTGAGCTTCAACATCTGCCTCCAATGGCCTTTCATCTCCACCGGACCCATCTTCCCGATGCCTGTTGCTGCGGCTGCGGCTGCGGCTGCGGCTCCGGCTCCGGCGGGCTCACCAATCCCTGTTTCCAAACCCACCACCACTGTCCTCCTCCGCCGTCCGACCCCCTACTTCAAGCCGTTGCTTCTCAAATCCTTCAATCCGCGCAATTGCAGCACTCCTCCCATTACCCAGGTCTTCGTACCCACAAATTTCAATCGCATTACCAATTTCAGCCTCTCAATTCCCAAACTCAGAAGCGCCTTCGTGAACAAGAGCTTCCCCAAGCCATTCCCCACTCTACCGTCTCCTCCCTTCTCTCCCGCATCGACGCCCTTGAATCGTCTCTCCACGGAGTTTCTGCTTCTCGTGCTCCTTCGCAATCTCTCCGGCACGTTGCTGCCAGTATAATCCAGACCCACTTTCGAGCGTTCCTTGTTCGTAGATCGAGAACACTTAGGCAGCTTAAAGACCTCGCGATCATCAAGTCTAGCTTTGAATCTCTCAGGCCCTCACTTTGCAATGGATTTCACGTTGATCACAACGCCATTTCTCTCGTTATTATGGATTTGCTGCTCGATCTCGATTCCATTCAGGTAATACAAGTTTGGTGGATGCCTTTCGTTTTTCTACTTTATTTTGATAATTTTTCTTTCATTTTGTTCCCTTCTGATCTTCTTCTCAGGGTAATGACCCAATGGTCAGAGATAGCAAGAAGGCCGTAAGCAGGGATTTGGTTCAGTTTTTGGATCAGATCGATAACTTCACTGTGAAGAGACACGGGCTTCCAGTCAAGGCAATGAAAAATTTGAGGTTAGGTCAAAATGTCAGTAAATCTAGGGTTTCTAATCCTAAACTTGGAAGCCATGGGAATCAGAAGGAGACGATAGATAAATTAAAGAGTAGGGTTGAAAAGATTTGTGAGCGTTCGAGAATTTTCGAGGATGATGGCAAAGATATGAATCTTAGAAGGTTTCACCATGTTGGTGGTGATGGTGATGAGGAGGAGGAGGAGGAGGAATCCCCAAGTCGAACTCGAAGTCGGATTCTTGCAAAAGGCCATAGAAGTCAACCTAGAGTGAAGAAAAGTGTTAGCTTTGCAGAGAATGGAAATCTATTTAGGGTTTTAGGCAGCAACAGGCAACATGGAGATGATGGTGTCTTGGATGAAAGGGATTCAAGTGATGAGCTTGTGGAGGATACTTGCAATGAAGCAGTGGAGATTAAGGAGTTTTCTGAGGTAGCTGAGGACGAAGAGGAAGCTCATGGAGAAGGTGGATCTCCAGAGACCAGTGATGGAGAAAGAAACCCTAGAAGAAAGATGACCAGTGGAGATAATTATGAGTTTCAAGGTAGCAACCATGGAAGTTCTGCATTCTCTGCTCCCCTGCCTTTGAAGATGGAGAACAAAGCTGATTTGATGAAGAACAGAAAGTCTCTGAAAATTTTGGGATGAGTATGTGTTTTCTAACCAATTATTTGTTAGCTTTTAGATCTGTGAATCTTTTTTGGCAATGGCATTTGGTTTCAGTGTTCAAGAATGTGATTCTCTGTTTTGTTTTGACCTCAAATAGAAGAGGCTTATTGCTTTCTTGAATCATCCTTCTTTGAAGGAAGGTGTGATGTTGTAAACTCCTGCTTCTGGAGTTTGTAGAGTTCTCCTCTTTCCCACTAACTTTCCTGTGTAGAAATGAAGCCTCGGTTCCCATTTGTTTCAGCTTCTTGCTGTATCATTTCCATTTACTTCTGGAATCAATACCTCCTGGGTTATTCTCACTAGTCTGAAAAATAATGATCGCCATACTTGATCAACCACCATGGGTCGGGGATCGGGATGTAGTAGTCGAAGGAACAAACTCGAAACTTAGATATCTTTGAACTTTGGAATCATGGTTATTCTCAACTTGTTTGAATTACTAACATTGCTTCAATTGATCAACCACCATGGTTAGAAATCAAGATCTGATCTAGTAGTCAAAGGGACAAGCTCTGAACTTGGATATCTTCGAACTTTAAAGTCATGGATTTTAACGAGGGTGATCATGCCAACTTAAAAGATAGCTCGACTTGTAAGCCATTTTGATGTCAATGACGAGAAACTATGCTCAAATTCTCATTGGATCTCGAGGAAAGAGTTTGAAGAAATTTTGTTGATAATCAAGACCCTACGGATGATGCACAGCCGTGAACGTGTGACAGGAAAGGGAGCTGCTGTAACTTGTAAGCCATATCTATGGACCATACAGAAACTGGTGCAGAGTGGTTTTGCTTTACTTGAAGAGTTTTCTCTATTTATAGATAATTAGGTTTTTGGATGGGAGGTATACCTAAGCTACTTTCTGTGAGCATATTCTTTTTTTTTTTATCATTAAATTTAGTAATTTTTTTTTTTTGAAAAAGTTTAAATTTAGTATTCATGCTATATAAAGGAAGTTGAGAATCAAAATCTGAGAGAAATTTCGTATAAATATATGAATAGTTCAAGTTCATTTGAATATTTAAAACATTATGATTTGATTCCTGAATTTCTCATAAATAAATATATATTTTTGGTTTAAAATCATTTAACAGTAACATAAAATACAGATGTCTTTTAACATAAAAAAAGGGGTCATTTGAAAGCCTGGATAATTTTATTTTCTGTTTTCAAAATATATATTTTTTTATTTTGTAAACTCTTACAAAAATATAATTATACTCTCAGCCAAATATTAAAAAAAAAAAGAAATTAGTTATAAAGAAAGTTATTTTTGAGTTGAAAAGCAAAACGAAAAGGTGGCACTAAATAAGTTTAATGTTTCAGAGTAAAAATATAACAAAATTATTATCAAATATAGGTTATTTTTTTATTTAAAAGAAAAAAGGAAAGAAAGAGTGCAACGTAAAGAATACTTATAACAATAACAATATTGGTATACATAAATTACAAACTAAAATATCTGTTAAGAAAAAACTAAAATGATTGAAGAAAGAAAATAAATAAATATTTTTTGAAGTAGAAGAAGGAAAGGAAACCCATCAAATTTATAATACTAGAAATGATATAGAAATGAAAATCTCAGTTCACCAGAAAAAATTCATTACTTTAATTGCAATACACCAAACCTGGTTCTTTGATTACAGATTCGCAAGATTTTTATTTTATTTTTCTCATTTTCCGAGAAATGAAATTTGGATCGAACCGATGCGCCGAGAAAAAGCTCTTCGAAAGCTCGGAGAGTCGAGAGAGATGAAATTAAAAAGAAAATAGTCGCATTATATTGCCCCCAATGAAACCCCAAATTTTTCTTCAACATCCCGCAAGTGAGTGTGCTGAGCACTCGCTTTGTCCGATCATTGGGTGAGAGTCATTCACCAGTTGGGGCCGAAACACAACTGGAATCTGTTCGTTCTTATTCATTGTGGTCTTTAAGAAGATCCCACAAAATCAAAATTCCATTTTGGAGCAATCCCAGAAGAATCGATTTCGGTTTTGAATGTGGGTCTCGGTATTAACTGGTTGTCGGTCGATCGTTGATGCTTTCCAGATGGGAAAGACTGCTGGAGCTGGTTTCTGGAGCGGCGAGATTCGATGGCTCTGTTAGGCTAGGGGTTGTCTCAGATAACAGCCGCGACCTGAAGAAGAGGCTGCGGATTCGAGGATGCGGCTTCACTTTTCGCCTAGCATGAGAAGCATCACGGTCTCGACCAGTAATGGGTTTATTGACTTTATGAAGATCAAAGTTGCAGCTCGTCACATCTCTTATCGAACCCTTTTCCACACTATTCTCGTTCTCGCTTTCTTGTTGCCCTTCGTCTTCATTCTCACTGCTGTCGTTACGCTTGAAGGTGTCAACAAATGCTCCTCCTTGGGTACTGTCATTGAACTTATTAATAAATTTGTCTTTCTGGCTAACGTTTATGCTGAGTGATGTCATTTTTAGACTGATTGTGATGGATCTTGTTTGCTTTTTGGGCGTGCAATTATGAAACCTTTTATGTCATGATTGTGGTCATTTCAGATTGCTGCAACAATCTGATTGATTTTTGTTTCTATTTAATCATGAGACGACCGTAGATGACAAATCCAATTTAATGTGATGAAGTTTTGTTCCGTTCTTTTTTTTGTCAAATTCATATATATGCAAAAGCTGTGGCAAAGTTCTCTTTGGGATCCTCTTACAAATTTCAATGAAATTACTCAGTGATGGAAATGAGCTATAAAATCTGATGATTAGCTATGAAGACAAGGAAAATTAGGTCTTACTTCTTTGAGCCAGTGCATTGCAAAAACAGTGAACAAGGAGAAGATAGTTGAGCGTGAAATGAAGAAATTAGCTCAAACATTGTACTACTTCAAGATAAACTTCAATAACTCTTTCTTTAATCAACCCTTGATCTCGTTCGAGTATAAGGGGCTGAATTTATACAAGCTACATAACCTCACATTCTTACTAAATTATGTTTGTCCAAAAAGAAGCCTAAGTGACCAGATGAAAGTATGAAGCTTTCAATTAAAACAGGAAATGACGTTTTGAGCAATATAAATGCAACCATTTTGGACAGAATGTGAAATATCTCACTGATTTGAAGTCTCTAAATGACATTACATTATTCGTTTCATAGCAATCCACGTCCTTATTTCCTTCCTTTTTGGTGCTAGATTGTTTAGGTAGGACATGGGGACCTCGGCTTCTTGGTAGGGTTGATGTTTCAGAGGTGATGACCTGATTCTATTTCTTGTTTTCTATTTTTCTTTTCATGGCTTTTTTTCATATCGTATTCATTCTTTAGATTGTTCTAAATGCTGTTTTTGTTAGCAATAATTTTATTATTGCAATTGGTGATCATATGCAGCAGAGGTTGGTGAGTGACTTTTACAAGGTCTTCGACCGAGTTAACATTGAGGAAATCCCAGATGGTCTAAAGCTTCCAGATTCATTTAGTCAATTAGTTTCAGAAATGAAAGAGAACCATTATGATGCAAAAACATTTGCTTTCATCCTAAGGGCCATGGTATGTTATATTTATTAGTTTGTATAAATCTTTTGGTAAGGGGAAAAAAATGAATGCCCCCCAAAGCTATTTATATTTGTATACTCTCCAAAACCTCATATGGTGAAAATTGTAATGCAATGATTGGAAAAAATTCAATCAAACCTGGCAAAATTAGAGTTTATGATAACGATCATCTCATCTCATAAAGTTGATTATGGCCTATAGTTAGGTATGCATCTGAGTAATCCTGGACATATTTGTATCCTCAGTTCTTTAACAATATATGTATCGGAAACAGAAATTCTTTACTAAAAAGCAATATGTTAGTAGCTAGTACTTCTATTTTTAAGGGGCAGCAGTATGTTAACTTTCTCCTTCCTTTGCAAAGCCCTCATATCAATTTGGTATGAATCCATCTCTCTCTTTCTTGATATGTGTATTACCATTTCATGTTGGATTGGAGCAAGTTGAGTTACTTCCAGATAAGTATTCTATGCTTATTCTTCAAGGCTCAACGATTAATTACAACCACCTAAATTGCCTTCTAATCACTGTTCCAACAACCTAAAATTTTTGAGTTGAAGGAGTTAGGTGGGGAAGAAGCCCTTGGTGGATGTTCCTGGGAAGTTGATTATGTTTTGAGAGATGATTGGGTGAGTGGAAATTCTTTGGTTGTTTAAAACCAAAATTTGTTTGGAGTGGTGGAGCCAAAATTGAAAACAGTAAATGAAATGTGGGATTCAAATGTAACATGTTGGAGTATTACAACCAGAAGAGAGAGGGATTAGGCTGTTATTGAATTTCTTTTTCTTTCAAAAATCAAGGGTAAAGGGAAGGACCGGACCAGGCAGTCCAGACTGGAGGTTTTGGCTGTGCTGGTGTCTATTGGCAGTTTTTTCAGTTAGGTCTTTTTAGGTTTCTTATCTTTGGAAAAAAAAAAAAAGTTCTTAAACTGTTTGATGGTGGAAGTGTGTTGGAAAAAGCCCTTTGTTCTGTTGTTTGGAAAGGAATCTGTCCAGAAAAAATGATTGGGTTTGATTTCTTGGAAGAAGGTAGCCTTACTCCTTGCCTTTGGTTGAACCTCCCTCTACTTTTCTAGAATGAAATCTTTGTGTCTTTTATTCAAATAAGAAATTGTCTGTAAAATCCCATCCTTGGAATATTTGGTTGGACAGGAGTAATGGGTTGTTTAATGAGGTTTTCTAGAGATTTGTTGGAGGTGGTAGAATGCTCCAAAGTAAATTGTTTTCTTTGGTTTCTTTTAGATAGGGGGCTGTATATTAATCAGAAAGCTTCTAGACCATACAACCGTACTAGTGAGCAGGAACCAAAGGAAGAATGGCCACCTTCAAGATGTGAAAGAAATTGACATGCATGGAAAGGAAGTTAAAAACTACTAGGATCCTTGTACCAAACTCTCCTATCTATAGAGGTGAGAGTTTAATGTCATGAGCTTAGCCCCAAAAGGGAACAAAGTTCAGCGCTCTCTAACCTCTGGAGTTTCTTTCGAAGGAAAGATCCAAGAATCTTGTTGAGAATAAAATAGAGGATTGACAAACCAATTAAAATTAAGTGTGATGCAGTAGGGTGCGGAAAATGACTCTCAGAAGAACTGGCGCAAATATCTTTCAAGTAATTCAAGAACTATCTTCTAAGACAAATTTCATATGAGAAAAGAGAATGGAAATCTTAGGAGATAAATCTCTGTGGGGGTGCAAAGCATCGCCCTTCTCAACAATTCTAAAATCCCAATGTGGACTTATCTCTCGCTTTCTCTCTCTTTGTTTTCTTTGATGGATTTTGGAGCTTCGTACCAGAAAAGTAAATTATACAAAAATAGGGAGGAAGATTTGGCATTCCTCAGCAAGTAGTTACAGAAAGGCTCCCCAGTTTCTATCCATGATAGAGAGAGTGCTTATGAAATTTCATTGAGGTTACGAAGTAAACTGAACCAGAAAACTCAAAATCTTTTATGGATTTATCTCATTAGACATTTTGGCGTTTCATAAAATTTCTTGTACTTTAGTTGGAGAAGTTCCTTATTAACAATCTGCTATCCTCATTAGTGGGAATTGCTTTTTGTACACAGATGGAGAGATTTGAAAAGGAGATCAGGGAATCTAAGTTGGCAGAGCTCATGAACAAACACTTTGCAGCTAGTTCAATTCCCAAAGGCATCCATTGTTTATCTTTGCGTTTAACTGATGAATACTCATCAAATGTTCATGCTCGCAACCAACTGCCTCCTCCAGAGCTACTTCCCTTGCTCTCTGATAACACGTACCACCACTTTCTTCTGTCAACTGATAATATTTTGGCAGCTTCAGTTGTTGTCAACTCTGCTGTGCAATCATCTCTCAATCCCGAAAAGATAGTTTTCCATGTCATCACAGACAAGAAAACTTACGCGGGGATGCACTCTTGGTTTGCTTTACACCCAGTCTACCCAGCCACTGTAGAAGTGAAGGGTATTCACCACTTTGACTACCTGACGAGGGAAAACATTCCAGTGCTTGAAGCTGTGGAGAACCAGGAAGGAATCAGAAATTACTACCATGGCAATCATATATCAGGGGCCAATCGGAGTGATACAACTCGAATGTTTGCCTCAAAATTGCTGATTCGAAGTCCGAAATACATATCCTTACTTAACCATCTTCGCATGTATATACCTCAGGTAATTTGGATGCAGCGGGAGAGTAAATTATTCTCTCTGATCTACTTATGAAATATTTAACTCATATAATTAATTATAAATGCCATCATTACCACCCCACAAGTTGTGGTCTGAATCAGACAAACTAGCCTTTTATCTCAAGTGAAATTATAATTGAAATCGGTCCATGTCTCTGCTTATCATGAACCTCAAAGCTGGATTGTAACATTAGTTGCAAGTTCTATAGGTTTCATATTAGTAGATCAAGTCTAACTGGAAATATTGTTCTCATTCCATGGGTACCGACCCACTTTGAAGTTCATGATGGTAAACATGTTTTATATGAATATCTAGCTAGTAATTTTACTGTTCTCTCGACATTTTATTTTCTGCTCCTAAATTGTTCCTGTGTCATTGTCGCTGTACTTGAGATAAAAAATTTCATTCTTCATAATCGTTTCTTCAAGGCTTGCTTGTGCAATTCTCTGTTTTCCTGCATAAACATTCTGAATTCATTCATTGTACAGCTCTTCCCAAAACTAGACAAGTTGGTCTTTTTAGATGATGATGTTGTAATTCAACGTGATCTGTCTCCACTTTGGGACATTGACCTCGAGGGAAAGGTTAATGGAGCAGTTGAAACTTGTAAAGGTGATGATGAGTGGGTTATGTCGAAGCGATTCAAGATCTACTTCAATTTCTCTCATCCCCTCATAGCTGAGCATTTAGATCCTAACGAATGCGCTTGGGCATACGGCATGAACATTTTCGATCTTCGTGCATGGAGAAAGTCAAATATAACAGAAACCTACCATTGGTGGCTGAGAGAGGTATAATATAAACCCATTAGCTCAGTGTTAATTTAATTCCTTGAGTTTGGTTATGGTCGGCAGTGTCATTTATCATATGATATACTATTTCATTCTGTTTGGTGATTGCATAATGGTCCCTAGTTACTAAAGATGCAAAGTTCTTGTATCATTGTGTTTCTTTCTTTTTATGCGGCAGAACCTAAAGTCAACCCTGACATTGTGGAGGCTGGGTACACTTCCACCGGCCTTGATTGCATTTAGAGGTCACATTCATCCAATTGACTCTTCATGGCACATGCTTGGCTTGGGCTATCAGAACAAAACAATCCTTGAGAATGTGAAGAAAGCTGCAGTTATTCACTATAATGGCCAATCTAAACCATGGCTGCAGATTGGCTTTGAGCATCTCCGGCCATTTTGGACCAAGTATGTCAACCATTCTAATGATTTCATTCGAAATTGCCACATTTTAGAGTCGTAATTCTCGAACTACAGGAGATTAAAGGTAGAGACAGGTAGCGAAACGAAGGAAACTATGTGAGTTACTCTGAAACTGTTACTACTTGGGTTAAGAAATTTGGAGTTTTACATACATGGCAACAGGATGCAATGAGGCACCATTACGCCATGTTTTAGGTTGAGCGATGTCACGGTATGCCTACGAGTCGTGACCAGGATCTTCGTGCTCGCATGAGCATGGGATTCACTCATTAGTGTGTAATGTAGCAATCACTTGGCCTTAGTGCCGATGATTCTGGTATTATTAGTTCTTCGTGCAGGGATCTCACCACGGTTCCCAGGCGTATATTTTGGAATATAGCAGAATACATACGATACAGAACATCCCATCACATTGCTGTTATCTATCAAGGTGCAAACAAGGTTATGACAGGTCTCTCAGTGAGTGTTTCTCGAAATGATCGGTCACCCAACATTATTTTCCGCCCTTCATCTTTTATTTTTCATAGTACCGTACCACATTTTCTGCTTTGAATGGATATTATATGGCGACAACAAAGTCTGGCTCCTGGGAGATTTATCAGCTATTGGTTCATTGGATTGAAGAATTCTTCTTAGATGATTGATTATGTTTATTTAGATTGGTTCTGTACGAGACACATTTCAAAATGTGAAGAAAATTCTTTCCATTCAGTCCCATCTACCATTATCATCATGTGGAAAAAAGGGACACAAAAAGAGAGCATTTTTCGTACCAACATGTAATGTAATCAAGTTCTAAATATCAAGTTTAACTTGGATTCTCTTAATTGGCTCTGGTTTATATTTCTATTCTGTAAAGCTGTAAAGAGTTATTCGAATCTCTTCAGACACAACACTACAAGATAAGATTAAACGATGCACATCAGATGCTTATCATACAACTTCCTCAGTTGGTGATGACAGGAAACCCACCAAGCTTTTATGCCACTCAAAAATCATCACTTTTCTTTCTCCTTTTAAATTCTCTCATATTTGAAGCTGGTCTCGAAGTGGGTGAAGCCTCTTCGAGAATCAGCGGAGTGGGACCATGAGCATAATGCAAGAAATGGGACCTTCTTACTCGAATTATCAAAGTTATTAACGTATCAATCAACTCTTTTTACCAGTCTTACTATGATTAATGGAAGAAAATTCTAGAGGGAGAGAAATCAACTGCTCTTCCAAAAACTAATTGAAAAGGCATAGCCCACATTGACATTGATTTGGACCCCCTTTGGCATTTTTCTTTGCTTTCAACATTATCTTCTTGTTAATTAAATGATGCCTAACGATGGATTAGTGCCACTTAATCGCATTTAATAAGTAATTGATTGATCCTTCCAAAGCCCAAACGGAGGAATCTAAAAGGCTCCAAAATTATATCACCAAAGCAACCTGTCAACTCCAACTTGTAACTAAACAAATTGAAAAAGCATCTAACAAACACAATGTTAGAGAAATTTAGTTTTAATTATTGGGCATTTTAGAGAACCTTCTTGTGAATTGTGTGTATATATATATATATATTTTTTTTTTCTGTCAATGTCTATTAGCTGAATGCCGCGTGTATATTCTATCGTTTTTTTTCAAAAGTTTATTGGAACAGTGTATGAAATGAGAATATCTGGTTCATATATGCACGGTACGCTCCACTTTTTCATCTCTGAAATTCTCTCCTTCTCCCATCATCATTCAATGTGGTTCTTCTATTACCGACATGAATGATTCTGGCTATGTAAAAGGGGTTAAATTCAAAGAGTGAAGTCAATTTCTTGCATTGTTTAAGGTAATGGGGTCATGTATAATTTTTTTCCCCTAAGAATTGTGGCCTTTTCTACTTCCTCGGAGCTGTTTAAAATACGTGTAAATATTATGATTGGGTAATCGATTTTAATTTTTGTGAATATCAAGAAATCACTTTTAAGAATGGAGGCATTGACCCCAGATTTAGAAGACTTTGAAAACTCCGGAGGTGCCTCGTCTCTGAGTTCTTCTTTGATCTCTTCAACTGGTTTTTGTATTATTATTGTGAGAGCATCGGTTTTCTCTTCAGTTCGAATCTCTGAATCGAGGTTTGTGGAAAGAGAGAACTACCCAGATCAATCTTTTCCAGCCAAGTTCGTATCGGTTAAGGTTAATCAGTTTCTATGGGTGTTTTCTGTTGGTTTTCTATTGGTTTTCTATTGGTTTCTCGGCAGCTTATTGGAGGATCGAATTAATTTTCCAATTCCGAAAATTCCCATTTCTAGAAATCAGTGTTTTGAATCGCTGAACCTTAGCGGCCTGAGTTATTGCTCTGTAGTTTTACAGTGTTCGTAATTCTTTTCCTGCCTTTTGCGACTTATGAATAGAAATCAATTCTTCGAGTGAATTTATCTACGCGAATACATCTAGTCTTTTGGAAGACGCTACTGATTGCTTTTGTCGCTATCTTTTTTTGTTCCAGAAATAAAACTGAAATCCAAAGCGTATTTCGTTTTCATTTGCAGCTGGCTTCATACTTCCGATTGCCGCATCTTCTTTTATGATTTACAACTCAATGATATTAACCTCCGTTTTCTGGGTTTCTCTCTCTTTCTGCAGACTTACCCTCGTGAGAATCTGAGCAAAAATTTATTTGCTCATTAACGGAATTCGAGTACTCTGGTGGGGCTTTGATTTCTTCTATAGGAAACCCAATTTACCTGTGATTGATTGAAGGCACGAGTTAATATGGCTGGAGTGGGAGATCAATTAGAGATCAAGTTTCGATTGAACGATGGATCTGATATCGGTCCTAAAACCTTCCCGGCTGCCACAAGCATCGCAACCTTGAAAGAAAGCATTCTTGCACAATGGCCAAGAGGTGTGTGAAATTTGAACATCTTTCTCATGGTTTGGGCCTTTGGGGGTGTTTGATTTTATTTGAATTCCTATGCTTGAGCTGATCTTGTAGCTCTGTTCGTAATTGAAGTATTAAGTTTTAACATTTTCAGCATATTGGCATCTATTTCGTCATTTACTCAAAATCGGGGAATTTCTTAAGACGAAACATAACACAAGCAAAGCTCAGATCTGATGTAGAGCTCTGCATTTTCTTCATTCTTGCTCTCGCCAATTCAGAAGATACACCACGGAAAAACACCTAACAATCTGTTACCGGAAGTACATCGGTCCATAAAACCTCATGATATTTGTTACATGTTGGATCTTTAATAACCATTTTGATTGAAGTTAGTGACTGGATTTTATGGCTCTTCGAAAGAAAATTCTATCAAGGAATGTCTGATACTCTGTCTGAGTTCTTAACAGAAGAATGCTCTTTGTTTCCGTTTACTGTGGATCTTCTGACTTATTTTCTTCTTCATTTTAACTCAAGTTGCAACATGTTTCTGACATCATTCACCCCAAATTATGTACAGTGGAAATTTGTGGATGTGAACTGGATTGTGGGAGCCTTTCTAGCCCTTCACGCTTCTCGACACCTGCAGTTTTACTCCTGCCATATTCTTTTGTTTATGCATCCTGGTCCTTGAGCGACTAGCTGTCTTGTTTTCTATTGCTTGAATCCATGATTGAACTATATCTCAAAAAGTCTTCTGTTTCTACTTAGCTTTTTAGTTCTGAAATCGAGTAGGCTCAGTTCAGTTAATATCCATAAAGAACATAGTTTCTTGCTGCTCTGCTTTGCTCACTTCAAAGTCATGGGTTCCTTTTTATAGATCTTTCCTGAGGCAGTAATCTTGTAATATCATTCATTACACACAAGTAATTTTCAGTAGGATTTAGTGTCATTCGCATTGGTTTATCGACATATATTGACCATATTGTATATTAATGAGAATTTCAGTGTTAGGCAATGGCAAGAAGGATGTTATTTCTGTTGCATTAGCGCTGGGGCTAGATCTTAATATGCCCTTCTTTACTTTGTTACCGTAATATTGTGAATGTAAGTTTCTTTTGATCAACCATATGATTATTTGTTTGAGCAGAAAAGGAGAATGGTCCAAGAACAGTTAAGGACGTCAAGTTAATAAGTGCAGGAAAAATCTTAGAGAATAACAGAACACTTAATGATTGCAGAAGCCCATTATATGACATTCCTGGAAGTGTGACAACCATGCATGTTGTAATCCAACCACCAAGTTTGGAGAAAGGTATAATTTGTTCTATAAAAAGCTTAAATTATAAATGACTTAAGATAGAATGAATGCTACTTTGGAATTATCTTTGCTGTATTTTGAAGTTTCCTTTGATTCCTTTTGGATCAATAAGAGCTAATTAATCTGATATTTTTGGGGATTTTCCATCACTGTTGATAAGAACTATCTTCTAGAACTTCAGAGTAAGAATTGTTGAATGTGTATACAAAGGTTGCTGGAAATTTGGCCGAATGGCTTTGATCAATCAAACTAATACTTCAAACGCTTAGACATGTTTAGATGTCTTTGCATTGAGCATTGGTATGAATAAGCATATATAATCGTTTGTATGTTGGGTCGAGGGCTGTGGAAATACGATAGGAAGTTTGTATCAAACACAACAACCAGTTAATTGTGTTAAGTTTAAACTAGTTTCGAGTACTATGCGAAAAGATAAACTCTCAATTTAAGGGAACGGTTTGCTTGTATCTGAAAACCCTTCTGGCTGTTGCTTCAATGGGATTACTGAGTAAGATTTATATTCTTTCTTTGCCTACGCAGAAAAGAAAGCTGGAGATCAGTCAACACAAAACAAGTGTGTTTGTGTTATACTATAAACCGAACTCATGGAAGTTCTCGACGCCATTTTTGAGTGCATAAAGATAGCAAAAATTTCCTTTAAAGTTCTGATGCCAATAACAGCCCCCGGAATCGGTTGAAGAAGTTTATTCTGGAGCTTTTGTTATTGTTTTCACAGTAGTAAAAGTAAAAAAGAGAAGAAACAGACAGAGGTAGCAGCAAAGATGGCGAAGACGATGGGTAAATTATCGACACACGCCAGTCGTAGATCCATAGCAGTTGAATGTCTGGTGGTGTATTATGAAGAGTTTTTGCCTTTTTCATGATCCATTGTTTAGCTTCATTTGTTGTTTTAGATTGATTTTGTGCAACTCTCTGCTATCTCAAAATGTTTGTGGTGAAAGATTTATATACTTGAAGTTGCAGTTAGGCTTTTACTTCATCTCCAAACTGTATCTCCATATGGGTTTCAGGCCCCAACTTCATGATACTTCCCCTTCCAAAACAAGGAATGATAATATTTCTTTCATCTTCTTTCTAATATGCTTGAATGAAAGGAAAATTTATTGATTTAATCAAAAAATAGATCTAATTTCTAATTATTTTCATTTGGGTCGTTTATTTTAATATGGAAAAATGATTTTGTCCATTTTGAAGTTTAGAAATTTTGATTTTCAAATTCAAATTTTCTACTCGTTGTATACAAATGATAAAATTCTAGAACCAGTTTATTTATTATTTTCACATATTCAAAGAATTTGTTTTGTAAAATTTTTTCCTTTGAACTTTCAAATTTTAAATTAAGTTCGCGAGTTCTCAAATTTGAACAAAATCTCACTTTTGATTTGTTATTTGAATATGAAAATCTAGTTTGACACCTCCTACTCCCAATCCAATTTGGTATGCTTTCAAATTCCAAATGAATTTGACCATAAACTTAGCATTTTATGGAGTAAGTAGTTGACTTTTCTTAGTTTGAACTGTTTTTATTATTTTTTTTTTTTTGAGAAGATTCTTTTATCAATTCCTCTTCTTTCTTGTGAGAAAATAGATAGAGAAGAACAATTTTTAGCACATAATAAAATATAAATCCATTCATAAGAAAAGAGTCGCAACTAACTAATAAATCCAAATTCGGCAGATAACTCTGTCATAGTTCAAAACACATGAAGTCATGAGCCTACCCTTATTCTATGTGCAACTCAAATGTCAATAACGTCAATTCAGTAGAAAGATTTGAGGTTAGGGAGCAGAAGATTACCCTGAAAAATAATATCAAACCTATCAAGATCAGCTGCACAAACAACACTTCCTGTCTAACTGTGTACAAAAATCTTCCTATCATTAAAAACAGCAATCTTGTTTCTATGCTACTTCAATGTCAGCTCATCGAGTTCTACATCCTGTTTTCGAAACAAAACTTATTACCGAGTCACCGACCACTCTATGAGGATCAATTAGATTCTTTAAGTCGAGCTCAATTTTTCACTCAACTCGCAGTGTCTAGAGAAGGTTTCCCATCTTGCAGGGAGATCACTGTTTCAAAAGCACCAACCAAGGCCTTAACCTTACTCTTTCGTGTTTCAACAAGTTTACTTGCGGTTTCTTCAATAACATTGTTGAACAAGCCCTGCGCATCTTTTTTCCCCTGCACATCTTGGTGCCTTAAAACAACAGTTTCTGGAGCTGTTTCTATGGTGTTGGTGTCACTGTCAACTTCTTTTACCTTCTTGAAGTTTTTTCTAAAGCCATCAACAGCCCTTTGATTCTCCCCCAGTTGCCTTCCACGCCTAAATTTAAGCCTCCTCGGACTATTACTCTCAGACCGGATGTCAATAATTTTTCCCCTTCTGAAACTTAGTTTTGTAGATTGAGGATCCTTTCCTTCAGATTGATACATCCCAAGATTGTGGGATCCGACTTCTTTACCACCTTCACTTGAAACATTATGTGCTTCCATGCTGCCAAGTTCATCGTCTTCGGAGTAAGAGTCATCCTCTGCTTCACTTTCTGTGTATTCAGATACATCATGATCTTCTTCATTGGCCAAAAAAGACGGGGTCGGTGGCGATGATAATGATTTAGGTGGTGAAAATGGCACCGCTTCCATGTTATCATCAGTTTCATTCTGATCATATTGTGGAGATTTCTCCTCATTTTCTATCTTAATGACGTATAAGGTTTTCTCTTGGACCTCTTCAATCTGGAAGGTTTTTTCTTGAATCTCCTCTTCACTCTGGAAGGTTTTCTCTTGGACCTCTTCACTCCGGACTTGCTCACGTTCAGCTATTTTCGTCTTACTACGAGTTTTAAGAGGGACGGCTTTCAAGTTACTGCGCTTTCTCACAGTAAAGTTTGCAGCTCCACGGATAGAGTTAGAGGATAGTGAAGCTCTTGCGGAGGCTGCTACTCTCTTAGCAGCTTCTTTGGAGGTCACTAAACTTTTCCCTACTTCGGAATCATTTTTTCTTCTCAAATTCTCTGGAGACCCAGCAGATCTCAATGGTTTCACTTTAATAGACTTCGATTTTGAAATGTCATCATGCTTTTCAGGTAACCTTCTCTCCTTGGATTTTTCCAAAACTTGAACTACAGCATCTTCTGGATTTCTAGTAGCTGAAGAGGCTCTCGGCTTCAAGTTTTTCAGGGCATTTGTTGTATGTGATCTTGACTTGAGTGAAGGTCTTGGCTCAGCCAATAATTTCTTCTTACTTGCATTCAGGACTTCTCTCTGCATTGGACTCGAAAAGACGGGAGTCCGTGATCTTGACTTGGGTAAAGGTCTCGGCTCAAACAACAACTTCTTCTTACTTTCATTCAGGACTTCTTTCTGCATTGGTCTCAAAACGATGGGAGATTGTGATCCTGACTCGGGTAAAGGTCTTGGCCCGGCCAACAATTTCTTCTTACTTTCATTCAGGACTTCTCTCTGGATTGGACTTGGAAATACAGAAGACTTTACCAACATTTCAGGCCTCACGAAGGTGGTCGAATCAGTATCAGATAATCTGGAAGCTGATGAAAATTTGGCATGGGCCTTAGTCGAGGTGGTTTTCTTTCTCTCAGGAAGTACCACACTATCTACCGAACTTTCACTGTCGAGTGATTTACTTGCCACATTTTTTAGCATAGGAAGTCTTGTCTTGGTTTCAAAAGCATGCTTTCTCCCATATTTGCAAAAATCATGACAGGAGCCAGTAGATGCTCTTAAATAATGAGGCACAAGTTTCTCTCCACTATTCGAAGAACTTGTCTGTCCCCCCATAGAGCTTCTTCTCAAATTAGTACCTGCAGCCACAATCGTTTCTGGTGTCACTGGCAGCACATCACCCTTCTCGGCCATTAGAATTGACAGAACACCTGGAAAAAAAACAATAGCCTACTAATAAAGAAACTTAATGGGCATAAATAGCAAGAACAAAAAAGTGCTCGACATAAATTAAATCAATAGGAGGAAAAATGGAAGGTGACCAAGGACCTGATTACAATAATAGTTTTCGATAAAATGCCTCAGTCCAGAACAAAATCCACTGAAGAAAGCAATAACGAACAAAGAGTGAGAAGAATATCGCTATATGAGGCCCTCCAGAAGAATGCACTTAACTCAAAAATTGAATTTTAGAGATAACAGAACTTAAGACATATATATACAAAGATAAGAGTTTACAGCAGAAATCTTCTTCCAAGACAAAAGCTAGAAAACAAAATGGAAAAATTATATTAATCGAACATTCATATCACCCTTTAAGACATTAAGAACATAAATGGAAGAAAGCAAAACAAGGGACATGAGAAATCTAATGCAACCATTTACATCCAAGGGACAGATGAATCCACTGTTAAGCTACAACATCTCATGAACTCCCTTAAAAACGCTATTGCACTTTAGTAAGACATCCAACATAGGAAGCAAAATCATTCGAAGAACCAAAAGGTTATCCCAGGAAATCTGCCAAGAGAGCCAGGTAGAGCTGGAAGCAGACAGATTCACACACAACCAAACATCTAATTACTCAACTGACAAAAACCCAAAGTTCGAGAAGAACCAATAAAGCAGGCGAATAAAATAATAGTTGGAGACATTGCCAATGCCGTCCGATTACGATACACTTACCTTAAATTAAAAACAGAGCACAGCCCAGATCAGATAAGAGATGAGTTCATTGGCATCCCATCTTCAACGTTGTAAAACAGGACGAAAGCGACAGATAGCCATTAAACAGACTGATAAAGGGAATATTTCCACACAGACCAGCAGAAAAGGAAAACGACGATAATATTCAAAGCAAACGGGAAAATATAACAAAAACCCACAGCCCCATTTCAGAGATTAAGCGGAAGGATTGCTCACCGTTACAAAAAAGAACGCGTCAGAGATACGCAACTTAGTATCGAATTATGTGGGTTTTCGTTGTTGGGTAAGAAAATCTTCAGCCCCTCTTCTCGCGATTACGAGAAAGCAAAGAAAAAGGGGCTACGCCTAGAAAAGATGAACAAACAAACGAAGGAATGAATGGAATTCAGAAAAGGGTCCACTCTTTTCGAGTTGATCGTCTCTTTTCTATTCCATTATTTGTTTATTCAGCAAACAAATTTGTCGGTTTCGATTCGCTTTAGAGATCGTGCAAGCAACTGTGTAATATTTCTTTCTTTCCCGTTCGGTAGCCTTTTATTTTTCCTCCCCGCGTTGGTTACACAGATTCTAACTTCAGAAAAAGGAGAGAGAGAGAGGGTCCTACAAAAAGCAAGCGGTTGCAGTGGGAAAAAAAGGAACTTGCTCTGATTTTGGGGGAAGGAACCGACTCTGATGAATAATTTAATATTGTGTGGAATTATTCGTATGAAAGGCCACAACTTTCGTGTGAAATAATGAAGGAATTGAAACTTCGGAAGTTTAAAACACATATAATACAGAAAAAATAAATAAAAATTTTGAATTAATTTGTTTTAAATTCAATTTCCATTGATGGTATTTATTATGTTTTGCAAAGAAATCCATATGACATTACTTTGGCTTCTATACAGGGAAGAAAATCTTTCATTTCCCCGCTAAATTTCTATAACAATTATGAATAGTACATTGACTCTTATCAGAACAATAGCTTAGTGGTTAAGATATGCTGTTCTTTCTTTTAGGTCAGCTACCTTTATCTTACTTAAAAGAAATTGAGATTTTTACTATGAATCATTTTTTCTATATATTTGAAATACAATATCATACTTTAAGGGTTATAAAGTTGCAGTAGAACTACCTTTTATTACAATTAAGAAGTTATAAATACATTAACATCTCATTCAACTTCTTTTACCATTCAAATTCAATGCTCTTCAAAAATTAATAACACTGGTTTAACAACCTTTTAACTCATATCTGAAAAAAAAAAAAGATTGTAACTTTCAAGTACATAAAGTAAGAAGAGGAAAAAAAATTCACTTTTAAATTTGCCCATAGATCTACTCTCTCTCTAACTTTATTTTTCAACCACAAAGGAAAAATAATAATAATAATAATGTGGGAACAGCTTTTGGTGTCACATGGCTTTTTATTTTGAAAAGATATATATGGCCTAGATTGTTGCCATGCACCATTCATAAAGAAAAAGAAAGGGCTCACATTTAAAATGTCACTAATTTGGAGGATGAATTTTGGTCAAGTGGATTTTTCCCAATTCCAATGTTAGGTCTTCTTCCCACCCTCCCATTTAAGATGTCCTTTACTTTTTAATTAAAAATAGAGATATTTATTTTAGAATAATTGATTTTTATCAACTGAATTGTCTGCCTAACTTATTTCAATT